TTGACATTGAATGATTTTGCTATACTGGTAGCGGACGAAAAGTGTGATTTCGATATTTGGACTTTGCATAAGACCTCAGTTGTTTAACTAGTAAAATAGAATTGAAAAAACTATGAGATAATCAATTTTCCCAGGAAAACAGCATTTATTAATAAATTAGGGAGCCGCCGCTTCTGTAAGATCAATTATCGCAACCGGTTCAAATGAACTTACATCTCAGATTTGATAGTAAATACTAAGAAAACTCAAAAAGTTTCTAAAACCGGTCAAAAGGCTTTCCAAAATCCTGAACTATTTTTCTGCAAAGAGCAGGTCATGTACGCTTAAGCAGAGAAGATTCCGAAAATCATAGCGTTTTGTTCGAAAAAACTATGCATAGCCGCTTACGCAGGAGGAAGTTATGCAAACTGTACTATCGATTGACCCAAAATCTCAGATACGAGAGGATAGTTTTCGAGAACTCAAAAAGTTTAAAAACGATCAAACAATCTAAAATTTGACTTCTACGAGGGCGATAACTTCTTGTGTAAAAACTTTTGCGAGTGTCCGCTAATTCATAAGAGCTTCTTAGTACTCAATATTTCCATTGAACTCACAAGATCAGATTTGAAATACTAGCTTTCGAGAAAAGTCAAAAAGGTTCACAGAATGATTTTGACTAGTTCGAGGGCCATAACTTTATCTGTTAAAAAAACTGAGCTAGCCACTTAAGCAGGGAAGCTTTTCTAAACAGTTTATTCATTGAATCTATTAACTCATATTCAAATATGAGCGGTAGTTTTCCAGACAACAAAAAAAAATCAAAATATGGGTCAAATAATCTCCCACACTTTTTCGAAGGCCGTAGATAGATGGTTCAAGTAAAAAAAGACTCTAGCGGATAATACAGGCACACAGGGCAGTAGGCGGTCTTTCAATTAACACCCTTTTTGGAAATCAGTAGAAGTTTCTGAGAAAAACTAAAATTTTTCTAAAATATGAAAAAAGTTTTCAAAATGAAAAAAATGAAATTTCAACGAACCGATTGGTTAACATACAACCAACTTGAAACGTAAGGAGGGAGCTGTCATAATTGTTTTTCTTTGGACCGACCCAAAATTAGGTCATGAATCCGATAAAATATAGGACGAAAAATTTTGGGCCGAGGAATTTTTCAACAAAACAAAAAAACAAAGGAAATACGAAGTCAAGCTAAGTAAATTTACAAAATATAAGCGTAAACCAAACAGTAAAAGCTCCATTAAAAATGCATAAAACGATTCCAAGAAGTAACAATTAAGCCGGCAACAGATAAGCAGACAATTAATAGGACAAACATTTTTATTTGGAACAGAATATTTTGTTGGCAAAAAAAAAACAGGTACCGGGCACTTTTGCTGCCCCAGGCATATTCGTATCCCTCCAGCCTAAATTGGCCTGAAACGCTATGAAATTTAAATACATTATGAAACTAGGTAGAGATGAGTCTAGACGAGTTTTGTGAACAAAGTTGTTCACGGGAAAAAAGTCTAGTACCCGATTGCGTTACCCTTGCTTATCGCAAGGGTAATTAAGCAATCAGTTGATAAGCGAGCACAGGATTGGCTCTAATCGTCAAATAAACTCTTTGACACATAGCCTCTACAAGTCATCAGATTAATTTACCATACGACTCAATTGAACCAGTCAGAAAAGCCCTTAGAGTTCGCATCTCTAAATAAGTCTCAAAATAGACCATTTTAATTGTCATCAGCTATTTGAATTTTTTATATTCTCAGATATCTCAATTGCGAAAAAAGCGCAAATTTGAGTGATATCTTCAAAGCTTTCATTTTCCCGTTTTGTACTAGGAATAAACTTTGCAGTCTTCTTTTGATGAGATAGGTGATTTGTCCAGAGCTAAGGCATCCCATTACTGTCTTCCTTTTTCTCTCCATTCTTGAACTATATTTTAAGAAAATGTGAAAACGCAAACAATCGCGCTTAATTATATAGAGTCCGCTCCAGAAAAGGTTAGGAAAGATAAATCCAAGAAGATGAGAAACATACCTGTAGTTTGAACATTCTAAACAAAGATGCTAACTATTGCATACATCTGAACAACTCAAAATAGAGATACATTATAAATAATTTTGTTTCTGCGAATCGGAGAGGAGCTATCAAATGATGTTGTGCCTGTCTAAAGATAATTCGTTTTGTTTACTTAGCCATACTGCAGACCAAGTTACTATGTTAAGCGCTGCAGATTTTTTGCGTCCAGACTGAAACGTGGTTGTCGCAATCAGTATTGCTGAAAAAAATCTGAAGGTTAAGCGAGAGCTCTTTTTCGCACGCTATCATTGCCATAGCGTGGCATTGAATAAACGACCTAAATATTTCAAAGTGAACGCCTCACTTATGAGATAAATGAAAATGCCTTCGACCAGAATGCAGGCCGAAGGAAATTTGTATTCCACGAAAAAAACATACAGCTCACGCAGCAGAAAACAGCCCACACAAAGATCCTTTCACTTCTAATTTGACTTCGCAGCCTGACCGAGCAATTTCCGAGGGACAAGAATAAGGTCCATTTAACATCATAAAACCTTTGATAGGAATACCAGATCATTCATTTCTAGATAGAAGAAAGTGATTATGGATCTAAGTTGATTAATTTATCTTTGTAGCTGAGCTTGCGTTTTAGATTCCAGACAGTTAGAATCTGCTGACGAGATTCAAGTTTCATCATCGATCCATTGTTCAGAGGGCAACAAGGCGAAGCAAACATCACAAAGGGAGCAAGCACCACAGATTTCTACACGTTCCAAGGCGAAATTAATTGTTGAAAACAATTTCTTCTAATAAGATGGAACACACCACGAGCTTAACGACAATTTTCTTTGACAAGAGAGTCCACAGAGAGTAAAGCACTGGGAGGTCACATTATGGCAGGGTGACCAAATAAGCTGATGACAAGAGGATACCTTCCACCATACCTCCAGGCAACAATAAAAGGAGTTCTGCAATTTCCAAACATGTTTATGAAAACGGGCCGAAAAATCCAAAGACATTTGTGGATAAACGAGACGCAATGATTTTTAGGCTTGATAAGTAATTAAGGCATCAGAAATAAGCTTAATTTTGAGGGATAAAACACGCGCAGTTTCATTGTCCACGGTACTGAAACTGAACATAGAAAAAAGCGAATTAGAGTGGAACAAATTGACTGATCAATCCTATAACACACATGCAACTTGTCCACTAGATTAATGGAAATGGCGTTACAAAAGGAAAGAAAAAGAGATAAGCAACAAGTTGCGCCTTAGCAGTTTAACTATATGCGATTGGCAGGTAGTCACCGAATACCAAATAGTTACCAAATACACAGACACTTTATTTGGATTGTTAGAGAACGGCGATAATTTATGCAACTTGGACCAGACAAGTGTTTGCTTGTGTGAAAAACATACCCAACAGTAAAACTCATACACAAAAACCTATGAAAATTCGAATTTACTTAGGCATAATCGACAGTCATAGGCCAATTGGAAACGGACAGTCATAGGCCAATTGGTTTTTTAAGAAAAATGAATGGAAAACCAGGAAACCAGAAATTGTTAAAAAGTTTCGTATTTTTTTTCAGAAATTGTTTGGAATTTTTGAAGTTTTTGAATCCCAAAATGGCGCTAAAAACTACAACTATCTTTACTTGAGTGAAAATAAGTATTCACGGCTTAAACTGAGCATAAATATGCTATTATAAGCATGCATGCTCACCTTTTTAGCTCAAAATTAGACCAAAAATCAAAATTTTCAAACCGATTTTTGTCAATAGGGACAAAATTTTTCCGAATTTTCTTAATGTCACTCAAGTCACAACTTAAGGGGCTTTACTATAAAATACCACTCTAGCCATTCCGATAATCATTTATGTACAAGATTTTGCGCGGAAAAAAAAACTATTACATACCGGAATACGAAAGTCCTCCCTATTTTTCAAATGGTCGGAACAACAAGGATAGCCGGTTGCTGTGCATGTAGCACAGAATATTCCAAGCATATTGTTAAGAAACCATTAACAAAGTTTTTTTTTCAAACTGCGTCGTTGTTTGTTTTTTGATGTGATGATAGAATCTAAATGAAAGCCTAAAACTTTCCCGGAACAAAAATTGGGTCATTGAGAAACTTTTTTTTCAGCTGGAAAATCTTGAGCTTCAAACCATTTGCGATACCAAAATTTAAATTTTCGTAAATCTCGATAGGAGTTCAGTCAATGCAAACACGCCAGACCTTTGAATATTAATTTAGCAATACAATTTGAGCAGATACAAGTTGAGCCGAAAAAATAAGATTTCATAGAAAATCGTTAAACTACAATGAACAATACTTGCACTTGCAACTACATTGAAAGTTGCTGAAAGCACAAGCGAGATGTGTGATGTGGCAACTAAGCCGGCAAAACTCAAGCAGACAAACGAAAGTCTTAAAATTCAATTTTTACCGAAAATTGTTTTCATTTTTTTTTTATTGCATCCATACTAAAAAAATCAAGGCCCGGCCGAGACTCATAGCCCAGATCTTAGGGTTGAAAGGTGACAGCATTACCAGTAGGCCAAGTGAGAAAAAACCTGGCTGTTGTGAAGGTTCGATTATACGCTGCAAATGTGAAAGAAAAGGTGTTTACGGAAAAAGTCTAGCTCTCGATTATGAGACACTTTTCACGCCACTTTGTATTGGAACAAAAATTATACAGCGAAAAAAACTAATATGAGCGTGATTGGTCAAAAAATGAACGTGATAAAAATTGCACGACCTAAACAGTTTCTTCACTTCTTCCATGGACACTTGAAAAAAAAACTTAATTCCTATTCTTCAGCGCATTTGGTCAGGAACGAGGCTTATTTGGTCGAACAGAGCTAGGGTAGGCTGTATCAAACGCTGCTAACGGTTTTCAAAAAATGGTTTCCGACTAAGAATATTTCTCCAAGAAAAAAAATCAAAATGAGTGTCTACAGTTACGATCAATAATATTGAAAAATTACCTGCAGCCTTAGCAATTCCCTCTCCAGCTTTTTCAGCTTGTGAACAGCAGTAATCCAACCCTAGTCCATTGACACAACACTCAGTGTATTTACTCTCGCTGGAGTCTTCCTCGCAAGTTAAGCACAGGAAGTCGATTGCTAAAATGAACAACTCAACTTATCGTTAGGAACTTGGTCAAATAATCGAGCTATCATTTTTTTATGAACCAATCAATTAAATGTAATTGAACGTTAGTGCAAATTAACTCCTGCTTTTACTTCCCATTATTCCGATGATAAAACATGAGCCACAAGAGGATTGCTCTCAAATAAAACAGGTTATATTTTTTCAGGTGCATTCTCAGACCAATTCGATAGTACTTTAAAATCAAGAAAATTCTAATGGTGGCGTGTCACGGAGCCGAATACCCGAAAAATTATTTTGTTCCCGGATAGCCAAAAAAAAATCTCGTTTCCGGATAGCCCAAAAATAATTCCATATTTTCTCACCCCTAAACCTATTTGGGGGAGGAAATTGAACGGTTGATCCGATCTAGCAGGCCAAAAATGCCGTTTTTGGGACTTTTTGAAAAATTTTGACCAAAAACTGTGTTTTTCAGTGCGGGCTCCCCTTTAGTATATATTGAAAAATTTTAGAGTTTATCGGCCGAGAGGGAGGGACCCATTGGTTTGTGAGTGGGTCGATTCCCTGTAGTAGTCGAATTTTTGTGTTAATTAATTCAATGAGAGTAAAAGTATTAGCCAATCAAATCTCTTAAAATTGTTCGGAATTTTGTTAGCTAACAGGCTGCAAAATTTTAACGCACTCTTTATCGTCCAATCAAAATAAGTCTCAATTTAGTGAAGAGTTTTCTAATTAAATTTAATTAAAACCGGAAAAATTTAGTTTTTTCGGCTATCCGGGAATGCGGCTCCGTGGGTACGCACCCTTCTAATATATATCACTCAATCTATCACTCACTTTTATCTTTCAGACAATTATATGAATTTCAATTCAAGTAGCCAAATTTTGCGAAAAAAAAATCAATCAGCATTTTTCAAATGACTTCATATTTTTTTTTGGAAAATGAACTAACTGTCCTTCTCGAAGCTTAGAGAAACGAATGCCGACAGCAAAACGGAGAGAGGGATGAATTTGTTCATGTCACTGATTATCTGAAAATCAAATCAGTCTATATCTCTCAACCAGGAGTAATAATTGCTAATCGGCAAGAGGGAACTAAAATCAAAATTTTGAAACAAAGCTGCTCGCACCAAGAAAAAACCCTGAATGTTTTCAAAGCCTTTTCAACAATCGGTACATGTCAAAAGGTTTGAATGCTGTTTGAACTAGTATCACGTAAAATGCGGTAAAATTTCAGATGATAAGTATCGAAATATAAGTGAAGCCATCTGGTACTGTAGAAAACGCATCGCGATAAGGGAGAAAAATTTTTTTCCTGTATATATTTTTTTAAAGTATCAAAATTTACAGAAACGCTCAAAAGAAAAAGTAGCACCGTTGGATACTGACGCGATAATATAAAAAAAAAGAAGCCAACTAAACTTAAATACAGAACTTAAAAGGAACAAAGGAGCACCAGAATTGGGAAGGCAAAAAACTGCACAAGACTAGATGGCCCGGCTGACAATCATAGTGGCGTTTCCTCTCATGAGGCACACTGAGAGGCTCTGGAGAAGGCGAACTGGGGCAACACGAGCGTCACGTGAACCAGAACGTCTGGCATCAGCGAGGATAGCAACTGACTTGAGGGTTTTGATAGCTAAAGCGGACCAACCCCCGAGCGTTTCGACTGCTAACGGGAAAAAACTGATTCCTTGTTCCTCACAGTTTTTCTCGTGTTTCGAAAATTTGCGGTCCTCAGCAACTTCCAGGGACGCCCCGGGGGTCTCCGCCGCACGAGAGAGAAGAGATAACTGCAGCGGGGATGTCACGGTGACGTCGAGAGCAGCTGGGCGACCAGCGCTCCAAGTAGGGATAAAAATATCGCCGGGTTTGGACCGTTCTCCAGGGATGAGGTTCCGTTGCTCCTTGATGGGGGCTAAAGAGGCTGCCGAGGTAGCATTGAAAATAATGTCCAGTAGCCTGTCGTGACGGGAGATCCGGCCACCACTCCCCCCACAAGCGACAGCGTGGTCCCCGAGGACGTCCAGAATGCCAGACGGACACGCGGGGCACCTACGAGCAGACGCGAACACAGAAAGACCAAGGCGGTATCTGACAGCAGCTTGGAATTCAGCAGGTAGCAGGTGCAGGCCAAGACCTTTAATGGGGACTGCGGTGAGCCAAGCGCCGGCGTAAGGCAGAGAGAGCGACTGAAGACGAGCTTGCTCGCGGGAATCGGGAAGAGACGAGAAGAAAGCGTTGTAGGTGGCCTTATCGAGTTTCTCTTGGAAAGCTTCTCGAGTAAAACCGGGAGTGTTAACGCTTCCAGACTGTTCACGGAAGTCGTTCGAGGCACGCAGGAACTCCGGCGTATCAGTGATGTCGCATTCGGTAAGAAACGAGACCAAATGAGCTGACTGACACGAAGACCCTAGGAAGGCAGGGATGTGTTGGTCGCGAGCTTGCCGGATGCCAAGTCCGCCATCTTTGATAGGCAGGGAAGACTGGGACCAGGCAAGATCAGGAACAGGTGAGCCAACTATGACAGAAAGAGCATCGCGGAGGAGTTCATCAAAAACTTGCAGGGAAGCTGCGACAGGCTGAGAGGGCGGCTGAGTGCGAAGAGAGTACGTCAGCTTGGGAGCAGCAAGGCAAGTGCGAGTGATGCCAAGTGAGAGCTGGGGGTCATCAAGAAGAGGTAACTTTTCAAGACATTTGGTGGCCTTCGAGATGCGTTTGTCCAGGACTTTAACTGAGAACTCAGTATCACCAATGGGGGCGCCAAGATGCTCGAAGCCATTAGACGCTGCTCTCGGGATAGAAACGGGGATGGAGGAGAATTTTAGTGTTGACAAAAACAGGAAAACTACGTAAAAGAGAAATTTGATTGAAGAAACTGTTCACCGGTTCTTCCGCAGTACGTCAACCAGGGTAGAATATGAAAGAGCGATGTAAAACAACCGTAAACAGTGGTTGGAGAACCAGTGACCCGATAACTGTAACAGTCGCCTACTTCGGTCACATATGAGGCTTAAAAAAATAGGCCCTATAACCATTGGCTCAAGAGTCAGGGACACTATCTCTTGTGTTTTTCTACCTCAAGAGCGGTCGGAGCCAATTCGGTTCGCTTGCGACATGAGACTAGAACCCGTTACAGCTTAAAGGCTACTACCAAAATATCCCCCCACTCTAGAAAATACAAACGTCCCCATACTTAGGTCTCAAAGTACCCAAAATACGCGAACGTCGTTAAAAACAGGGTCGGAACAATCCGTTAAGTTATTTTTCATTGGACAGTGGTATTTTGATCCATTTCAGATGGATCAACCTAAAACTCGCCTTATCTCAACATAACAATCATAAAACACACTCGAGAAAGTTAAATTGGGGACTCACATGTTGATGTACTCGAGTACAGGGAGTAATTAAATTGGTAAGCAACTCAAGAATTAGGTAATATAACTAAATAAGCTTGATACTGGTCAGTTTTGGTAACAGAAGTAAGTTCTGGCTCTAGAATTTGAGTTTTTGTATGAACCATTGGGACACTCAAGCTGTCCACCTTTCCATTGAAGGTTCACTCTGGTTCGTTCCGAATAGTCGTTCTTTCTTCTATTTGTTGTCTCTCCTCCTATTTCGGGATAAGACATCTCTACTCGTGTCCTATTTTATATCTGGAAATTGCGAATAGCAATTTCCTGCTGTTTTTCTTGAGTATTTCCCGCAATTGTAAATTCGGTCGTTCTGATTTTTCACTTTTTGTTTTCAGTTGGTACGAGAAAACTGAGCATGACAGGCTCTATTCGAAATTTTGAAAATTAAAATTCCACTCCAAAATTACGTATTTTCGTGTCTCTCAAGGTCAAACTTCCAGACATGACCGACTGGCACATACTCCCCGGACTCAAGATCGATGTCCTAATCGCGTGCTGTCTCTGTCAGTGAATCCCCAGAAGTCCAAGTGTCACTCAAGATACAGTGCCGGTGGTCATTTACAGAAGTTTGAATTCTTCGCCTGATTTGGTAAGCTCTTCACCTTCGACTCCCGGTTCAAACAGAAGAAATTGTGAAGACTCAGGCTTACATTCTTCGCCAGGTCCTCCTCGAGTATTGACTCCCTCGCTCTAGTGTTGTCTCTGGATACTCTACCCACTCTTTTCCACCCCGTCGTGATCGCATTTCGATGGGTCAGCAGAGGTCTTTTGAAGGCATCTGGTCCTATCTCGGCCTGGAATTGTCGATATTCCTTTTGATGTTTCCTCATGTGATCCCTCGTCGCTACATATAACCAGGATGTTTACGTCGCGCGAAACCAAGGAAAGAATCTCAAGCGGCTCGACACGTGTCTGACCTCCATTGGTATGGCGAACACCTTGCATGCTGTCTCGAACAACTCAAGTCTCCTGCTGTAATCTATCGCGTGAATCGACTCTGCTGTTGGCGTCTTCGATTCTCGATACTTTGATTTGTTTTCTTGCATCCATCGTAGAGCCAGCATTGTGCTCACCACCAAGATGGTCACTTTTGTTGATGCTCGGGTAATCCCAATGACCTGATATCTTCTACATCCCAAATCAGGCAGAGATTGGCTTGGTCTGGGTACCACACTGTCTGCGCCAGACAGTGGCATGGACAATCCCTGTGTGTGAGGTCGATGCTCCTAAGATTGCGTTCTCCCGAGGCTTCTAGGAGAGGCTCAAGTTCCATCATCTTCTCGTGTATCACGTCGACTTCTTCCAAGTTTGGGGCACTTACCATGGGTTTCCCAATCACGTTTTGTCTCTCGAGGTCACTGGTATTTTCGCTCTCCAAGCCTAGAAGTTCTTCACCCCAGATTTCACTCAAGTCGTCCCTTTGTTCTTTAGGCACTGTTCCTCGGATCTTCCTCAACAGCTTGTGTGAATGATGTGACATCCGAGCCAGTCTTACACATTTGGGCACTGAGAAGGCTTTGTCTATCAATACCCTCTGGCTGGATACTTCTACCATCGCCATGTGCAATGGATAGTGGCTGCCACATAGGTTGGCCATCACTGACCCCACTAGGGATTTCGCATTCAGAGGCAGTCCATAGGCTTCGCTCATGGGAAATCCCATCTCCGCTTCGTGTCCAACCTTCCAACTCTTGATGTGTTTCTGGGTCACCTGCAACACTCCGGGCCATGACTCCACGCTCAACGCGGTCACCAAGTGGTGTTCTGACTCTAGCCTCTCCAGTGACTGGAGACTACACATTCTCGAGAAGAACCCCAGAGCTGTTGCTAGGTTCACAGTGGTACTCGCGTAACACTCAGCCACTATCTGTATCTCACTTTTCTCCCTTTCTGTGATATCTTCAAACCAGGTGACTAGGTCTTTTTTCTGGAAAGACTGTATCCTGATGCACGATCGTCCATCACAGGTGTGCTCACCATTGCCACACGTCGAATCAAGACAACTGCCCGGCTCCATCTTCTTTACCGACCCTGTTCCGCTCGTCATCTCACTTGACTCCTTCATCTGAGGCAGGATCAGTCTATGTACTATACTCAAGGTCGCTAAATATTCATCCTCTGTCGGCGCCAATCTCACTCGCTCAGTGACTTCCTCGATCAGGCTCGCATGGGGATGTGGACACCAAGAGGGCTTGAGCAACTTCCACACCACTCCCAGATTCGTGGTCAACGTGCCGTTCCCGTTACCCATTCTTAGTTCTACTCTTTTAGTTGAGCGTGGCACGCTTATTACTTCCGGTTTTCTCTCGAGAATCAAACCCAGACTAGGTCTCTCCCTTTCCACAGGGTCTATCTCCATTATCTTCTCTATCCAGAACTTCAGCAGCTCCGCCACCTCATAGTTCCTGTGGGCGCCTCCAGCTTCTAAGTCTAGGAAAGGGTTATATGCCATCCCCATCACTCCAGACACATACTGATACTCTCCCTTCTTGTTGGGTTTCGAGTACTCTCCTGGAGAAGCCAGGTTACGGTGAACGTCGTGTTTCTCCTCGAACTTCTTGTTTTAGAATCTCCGTATCTCATCTAACTTCCTGTGGCTCTCCAGAGATTGCCTAGA